ACATAGATGAAGACAACTAACTCATTTTTGAGTTTTTTCAGGTTGCGGAGAACGGAAGATAACCGTTTGTTACTTAACTCTCCACACAAGCGCACGGAGTGTGGCTGATGACGATGATCTATCCTGATGTGAGAATGATGGTGATGATCGTTCTATTGTTGCCCTCGAGTGTTTGCAACAAAGCACCGGCTGGCTCGCCGGCTGGTGAAATCGATGACCTTGATTTTGCCGTTTCGTGATGCGATGAAACTTGTTGGTTAGAGATGTACAGCTCATCTGCCGGACTCGGCCGGAAATGACTGCTTCCTTTCTCGAACGATTGAGCGGCAATTACAATTCCGCGATGCTCACTACACTGTTGTATACTACAACACCACTCAGTATGAAAGCGGATTGAAAAAAAAACCTCAATAGGGGAAAAAAAAAAACTAGTACCGATTACGGAGTGCAAGCAATACTTGACCGAAACAGTCGAGCGTTCGATGAGGAATGTTCATAACTACTTGAAAGTTCCAACAATATTCCTGAATTTAATTAAACTGCCTTGAAGTTCTTTTGTTGTTTGAGAAACTAACTTGATCCTCGCAATACTTCTCATCATTTCTTTTAACTTCTCTAAACTTTTTCGGACTTCCTAAAGTTTCCACGATTTTCCTAACGATCATGAATCTTCTCTTAAGTGCTGACAATTAACTGAATTTCTCGAAAAATTTTTTTAAAATTTATGTAATTTCCCTGCTGTGGAATATCTTTGCTCTGAGGATATCCGTTCTTTCTTGAAGTTTGTTTTTTTGTTTAGAGCTTAATTAGCGAGATCAATATCATTCTCGAAGTTCTCGAAACTTCTCTAAAGTGTTTTAAAGTTTTCATGAAGCTTGTTGTACTACCATGAATAAAATGGAACTGTTCTAAAAATGTTTAAGCTTGCGTGAACTTATGGAACTATGTTACTTACCTTACCAATCAGGCTAAGGCCTTGTTGTCCTCTGCTGTCCACTCTACTCGATCCATGGCCACAGTTCGCCAGCCTCGTAGTCTGCGAAGGGTCCGCAGGTCACCTTCTACTTGGTCGATCCACCTTGCCCGCTGCGCGCCTCTTCTTCTTGGTTCTCCAAGCAGCTGGTGCAATTCGTGGTTCATTCGCCTCCTCCACGTTCCGTCATCCCTCTGCACTACACCATAGATGGTACGCAACACCTTCCGTTCGAAAACACCAAGGGCGCGTTGGTCCTCCACGAGCATAGTCCAGGTCTCGTGGCCGTAGAGGACCACCGGTCTAATCAGCGTCTTGTAGACAGTCAACTTCGTGTGACGGCGAATTTTATTCGACTGGAGTGTCCTCCGGAGCCCAAAGTAGGTTCGCGAGAAAATGAGCTTACAAGGTTTGTTTACAAAATGGAGTTAAGGCCATTTCAATTGTTGGTCTTGATATAACAAATTAGAATGACTACGATGACAAATTCATAAGAAAATAGAGATTATCGGCAAGATCCTTAAACTGATCAAAGTAGTCCACTAAAGCTCCCATAGACGATTTTTGGAATTTACCTGTGGCAGACTTCTGAACTTTCCTAAAAAAAAAAATAAACTGAAAATCAGCCAGAAAACTCTGAAATCTACCTTCAAACTATTCGCTAGAAGACTTTAAAAATGCGTGTTTTGAACTTGTCCTCGATAACCTCTGAACCTTCCCATTGACAAACCTAAAAACTTCCTATTTAATCTCTGAATTTTCCTAACATTCATCGACTGATTCCGATCTCCTACTTTCTCCATCACCTCCATATCTGCAGACTGATGGAGGACTGTGGCGTCGCGATGTACTGCGACATGCACGCCCACTCACGCAAGCACAATGTGTTCATCTACGGGTGCGAGAATCTGAAGCGACATCCCGACCGGCGGCTGCTGGAGCAGGTCTTTCCGCTGATGTTGCACAAGAATGTCGCCGACAAGGTAACGGCCAGATCTGAACTAAGCCCTATAACCGATAAATGACAGTTGATTTTCTTCTTCTCCGCATCAGTTTTCATTCGAAAACTGCAAATTTAAGGTACAGAAAAACAAGGAAGGCACCGGACGGATCGTCGTCTGGGTGCTCGGAGTGACCAACAGCTACACCCTGGAGGCGTCCTTCGGTGGCAGCACGATGGGTGGCCGGGCCGGGACGCACTTTTCCACGGCGGTAAGTTTTGTTTTCTGGGTTTCGTTTTCCCTAGAGAAACATTTTCTAATGAAGCGACTACTTCCGAACAGGACTACGAGCACATCGGCCGGGCATACTGCGAAACGCTGATGGACTACTACGACGATAATCCGATCAAAGTAAATTTCTTCGTCAAACGATTGCGCAAGTTGCGAAAGAGGGAGAAAAAACTGCGAAAGGCACGCCGCAAGGCCCAACAGAGTGCCTGGTGGTGGTTGAACGAATGCTAATTTATTCCTGGAAAATTTGCTTTTGTTTTTAGCTTATTGCGTCTGAATTGGTTGATTGGAAAAATTCTGATCGCTCAAAATTCGTTGGAAATAAGCATGTTCCTAGAAGCAGCGAAGGAGTTTAACTGGAGAGGTGGCAATGTTTCGGATACGCTTTAGAGATTCGCTTCAAATGCAAGAAATTGCTCCACTTTTCTTCGACGATTAACTCTGCAAACACTTGTAAAACTTGATTCACTGTCGAATTAATCGATGTTGAATTCACTTGAACTGATCAGAAATAAACCGCTTGCTGCGCCGAATCTTTGACAGATGGCGAATACACTCTCACCTGAAATCAATTAACAACAAGTTAAAGGCGAAAATTTTACACCGTAAAATAAGAACGCTGACTTTCAGTTAAACTCCTTCCCAGCTAACCAACTGAAACCAATCCGTCGATTGCATCGGATATAGCATTTACTCAACACCCATTTTTTTAATAACATCCTCACCCACCCACCCGAATTTTCTGTCGACTGTCGCTGCAAAAGTATTATCATTTTTATTTCGAAATAATAACGCCAGTTTTCTCTCGCTCTCACTCGCAACGTCTAAGCGAATCGTGTTTAGTTAAGTTAATTTAAATGCATAGCAAGCAAACGAAACAATAAGAAAGCAAGCATAAACTAGTAGGCGCATCTTTTAGAGTATTGCTCGAGTTAAAAAAAAAATAATTGAAGTCATTACGTTTGTATATTTGTAAATAATAGCATATTGTATACATTTCTTTTACTTATTTATTCATCAAATGTCAGCGCTTTCTTGGAGTATGTAGTAGTTTTGGAAACCGAAATCGAAGATCTTTTTTTTTTTCTCTGTTTGACATTGTACAAATTCGCAAAACAAAAAACAAGTGAAATTTGATAAAACGCAAATTAAAGAGTATTCGCTTATTTTTAGTTCAAAAACAAATCCATCCGGGTTCGATAGAAGTTGTGTTTGTGTCATTTTTTTTCCTTTGTTGACATTTTCACCATACTGTATTTGTCAGTGAGCGCTGGTGTGTATGATTGTTTGTATGGGAACGTGTGTTTGTGTTAAATATTATTGCAAGTACTTCCAGCACGACCACCAAAAATGACAAACCGAACGCGGCACGCCCATTTTGTTCTCGTGTAAGTTTTGACAGACAGCCATCGTCGACCATAATATGAAAAAGCAAATGTCATAATCGCACTCGTTGATGTTGTTCCGGAAAATTGCATGCAAGTCACGAACAGGGTTGCACGCTAGTTAAGGGCAAAATTCCTCACTCGATTGTTGTTAAATTGATTTGTTTACTCTTTGCAAACGAACATTGACTGAAACCGAAACCATGACGTTCAATGAATAGTGTCAGTATCGGGTAATTGTACTCAAGTTTTTATGGTTCATACGAAACATGCACAATCCATTGTCGGTCCCGCCTAGTCGAAGCGCCATTGAACGGCGGCTGGAGGAGTTTCTTCGGATTCCGGTGCCTCGGACGAAGGAGGAAAAAACAGCCAAACGGGAGGAAAATGCCGCGCTACAGAAAGAACGAACCGAAGAAGAGAACCGGAAACGTGCAAAACGAATAACCCTGAGGCCGCCATCTCCGCCGAAAGTGTTCCTGTTCAACTGGCGAAAGTACGTTTGGGCGGCGAATCCCAAGACTAGACGCTATCACTAGAGACTGTGACACGTTTTCCGACTGTTCAATGTGTTACTCACCCGTCTATGTTCGTGTCCCTTGTGCGCTATAAAATCAAAACTACCCTTGCTATAAAACGCCACACACTATCCCAGTCAAACTTCCTGATACGATACTTTCTTTCACTCCACATCACACCGCTTTACAACACTTTTCTAACCACCGCCAGCGGAAGTACCGCCAGATCGTGCGCAAGTACTTGTGGTTCTTTATGAATCTGCACGATCCGTACTCGGAACCACCCTGCATGGAAGAATGGCGTTGGCGACTAGTCGAATTCAGCCAGATCCCTCTGCCTAAGACGGAGGAGGAAAAGGCAGCCATAAAGGAAGCAGAGATCCTAGCCCGCCGGAAACGAGTCGAAGAGGAACGTATCAGCCGCATTGAAGCCAAAAAGGCCGCCGCTGTAGCTGCTCAAGTTCCTCCCGAACCGACCCCGTTCCGTTTCCAGTGGCAAAAGTACTTCTGGGCTAACAACCGAGGCAAGGAGGCCAAGCTACTACACTAGCGACATCTACAACACGCCACAGAGCACTGCTAACACACGTGTATATATGTTCAAACAATAGTTATGGATTTATCCCATTGCCCACGCAGTAATGTACAGTCCAAGTAGGATTAGCAGAACTATTAGGCTAGATTTACGGTAACGCAGTTACTGCCCGCTCATAATCTAATGTTTACCTTTTGTGCTATAAAAAAAACCTTAAGCGAGTCTACCGCAATAAAGCGCGCCAGTGCTTGCACTTCATACTGAACCTGGCCAACCTGGATTCAGCGCCACCGTCGAACGAAGCCATCCAACGACGGATGCAGCACTTCCGCTCCATTCCCGTTCCGCGCACCAACGAGGAACGGGAAGCTCTGCGACTGGAGCAGGGACCTCGCAAACGGATCGTACGCCGGGTGGTCAAAGTCGTGCGACGCGTCGTTCGGAAAACGAGACCCAAGACGCCCCAATCCGACGACGAGAGACAGATTTGACTCGATATTCTGGTTTGTTTATTTTGATTTGGTAGTTGAATAAAGTAGTCCATTTTTGGAAACCGAAAAGCACGCTTTGTAGAATCTTTTTTATGGCACCGAACGCACTTGATTAGGATGAAAAAAAAACAAGCTTCTAGGTTTTGCAAAACGATACCGAAAGTGGTTGTTTACTTCGAAGGAAAAGCTCCGCATGAAGATCCTGACTCGACTTTCGAAGGAGGGCTCCAGCGCGGAGGAACCGCTCAACATTCCCCTGTCGGATTACTCCAGCGACGAAGGCGACACCAGCACCAGTAGTTCCGAAGATGAAGGTTAGTGTGCTATAAAATTCATCGTTTTCGCTATAAAATTAGAAAAACGTTTTTCTTTCTCGCAGCTGGTAAAGATAGCATGGCAGAACTGGAAGGCCCGTGCTGTTCTTCACTGAGAGTACCTCCATCATCTCCGGTTCTACCGCAGAAATTCAAGGGAAACAAAAAGGTAATCACAACCGCACCTAACCTCAACTCTTTGAAAACACTGTTCAACTTCCACCGCACAGGGCAAAAAGCAATGTCGCACTCCGACCAGACCGTATCGGCGAAGAGCCCGCAATGCGCACCGCATCGTGCTGGACATTCCTACGGCCGAACCGGCTAGCGATTTCTTCGAGTACTCCTCCGACGAGGAATCGTCTCCGGTGGGCGGTCAGCCTCACCAGATGGCCGTGTCCGATACGGAGAATACGATCAAGCGGAGCTTCCGGCGGCACCACAAGTTTCGCCAATCGGAACGGATCAAGAAGCTGACGATGCTGGGTTGCGAAACGCAATATCTGATGCCACCGGAACTGATCGTACGGTCGGCGACGAGTCGATACATGTCCGAGGAGGAGGACGACAACAACCGGATGGTGATGAGCATTATCAAGGAGTTTCCACCGATCAGCAAGGAGCGCTCGTGGCAGGGATTCAACCGGAGGAGTGCGGAGAGGTGAGTTTTGGGCGATTTGTGGGGATGGGATTTCTGCACTGGGGGGGGGGGGGGGGGTATTCCTACAACATTTCAAATCTCTCAAACTCGGGGTACAGAAGACCAGGGTTCTGCATTTTCGAAACAAAGAAAAGAAAAGGAACTTTCCGCAGAATTGCTTCATTTCGAGCAATATCATTTTCGTGTAGGTCACTGTGTTTCTTGTTATCGAGTCACAATGAACAATCCTCCTATCAAACATGAATTGACTATCACTTGTTTCGTTCGTCAAGTGTATCAGTTCATTTCATTTGAAGCAAAGACGTGTTTCAATTGACGCAATGAATGATTCGAAAACTGCATCATTCGTTGCTTCCACTTTCACTTCAATTCGGGGCTCATTCGACTTGTCACGCGTCGCGTCGTCAGGCATCAAAATATAGTATCCGGATAGTATCCGCACAATACCGGTTGGCGATAGGGATGGCATCCGGATTATATGTAGTAATAATTTGTTATTTATCGGGGGCTTTCGGCCTGCAACTCCAGGCGAGTATAATTGCGATTTCGAACTTTCTTCTTCTTCTTATTCGCATTTCAAGCTTATTGCTTAGCGCATATTAGCTTATTGCGTGCTCTCAACTTAGTGTTCTAAATGCACTTCCACAGTTATTAATTGAGAGCTTTCGATGCCAATACCAATGCATGAATTTGTATATTGTGTGGCAAGCACAATGATACTCTATGCCCAGGGAAGTCGAGAAAATTTCCAACCCGAAAGATTCCCTCGACCGGACCGGGAATCGAACCCGCCGCCTCCGGCTTGGTAAAACCGTGCCTTTACTGACTAGGCTATGAGGCCCCTTCGAACTTTCGGTACCTGATTTCCCTTCAACTTCCAGTTCGCGTAGTGGCATCTTGGGTGGTCTCCGGATTTACTACCAAAATGTGCGTGGGCTGCGGACTAAAATCGACCCGTTTTTCCTGGCTGTCTCGGAGGCTGAGTACGATTTGATTGTTCTGACAGAAACGTGGCTGGATGACCGGATTTACTCACCGCAGCTGTTTGGATCGCATTATTCCGTCTTCAGAACCGACCGCTCTCCCCTAAACAGTCAAAAATTGCGTGGTGGTGGGGTTCTGATCACCGTCACAACGAAACTGACCAGCTATGTAAGTACCTCGCCCATTTCAAGTCTGCTAGAGCAAATCTGGATTGTTGTGGATCTGCCAAGAACCAAGCTCAGTGTAGGCGCAGTCTACCTACCCCCCGACCGCAAAAACGACTGCACGATCATCCATGAGCACGTTAATTCGTTGGGCTCGATTTCGTCTCAATTGTGCCCCAATTCTCCCGCTCTCCTATTTGGCGACTACAACCAAGCTGGTTTACAGTGGCGTTTCTCTGACAGTGGCACACCATTCATTGATCCTCTGCTATCGCATATGCCGGTTGCTTGCTGTGAACTTCTGGACGGATTTAACATTCATGGGTTCACTCAGGCGAACATTTTTCCCAACCGTAATGGACGTTTGTTAGATCTTGTTCTGACAAATGACTCAGCCTTACCAGACACTTCTGTTTCTCTACCGGTCGAGCCACTGATCGATCTAGATGCCGACCATCCCGCTCTCGTCGTGTCACTAAGTTTATCCACTCCAATTGAATATATACCGTTTTCCGAGTGCTGCTTTCTGGACTTTCACCGGGCCGATTACACTGCATTGAACAATGCACTTGCAGAAATAGATTGGCACTGTATCGAAACGGCCGCTAGTGTCAATGATGCTGTGGATTGTTTCAGCTCTGCGCTGGAAGAAGTTATTTTCCGCACTGTCCCAGCAAGACGTCCCCCGCAAAAGCCTCCATGGTCGAACCCACGCCTACGTAAACTAAAACGTCAGCGCTCCGAAGGTACTGCAGCTCTCGCTCACCGTTCTACAAGCAACAGTTTAATTTCGCAAGTCGTCGCTATCGAAACTACAACCACTTCCTCTATAATCGGCACGTGAGACGCACGGAAGCGAACCTTCGGTCGAACCCGAATGGTTTTCGGTCGTTTGTGAATTCAAAACGGAAAGAATCCGGGCTGCCTTGTTCCATGTTCCTCGGAGATGATACGGCTTGCAGCGAAAGTGAAAAATGCAGCTTGTTTGCTCGTCAATTCAAACAAGTCTTCCACGATTTTTCCGCTTCACCGACACAGGTGTTGGTCGCAACCTCCGGGATGCCACGTGATGTTTTTAGTTTTGACATACCTCACATCACTGAAGACATGGTGATAGCCGCAACACGCAAAATGAAGAACTCATTCGCCGCTGGTCCTGACGGAATTCCCTCGTCAGTTTTAAAACGATGTGCAGTCAGCCTCTGCCTTCCACTTGCGCGACTTTTTAATTTCTCGGCACAGCAAAGTGAATTCCCCTCCCGCAGGAAGCTTTCCTATCTGTTTCCAATTCACAAAAAAGGAGACAAACGGAATGTCGCTATTTATCGTGGGATTTCCTCCATGTGCGCCTGCTCTAAACTTTTCGAGATTATTGTAATTGATGCTCTGTTTATGTGCTGTAAAAATTATATCGATACGGACCAACATGGTTTTTACCCCAAGCGATCGGTTTCCACGAACCTGGTGCAGTTTACCTCTGACTGTCTGCGAAGCTTGGATGTTGGATGGCAAGTTGATGCTGCATACATGGACTTAAAAGCCGCTTTTGACAGGGTAGATCATGAAATCCTGCTTGCTAATTTGGAGATTCTAGGTGTCTCGTCTACGGCTGTGAAATGGTTCAGATCGTACTTAGTGAATCGCTCTGTACGAGTCAAGATTGGCGCGACGGAATCAAATGTTTTCTCAAACAACTCGGGAGTCCCGCAAGGCAGCAACCTGGGACCTCTGCTGTTTTCGATCTTTTTAAACGACATCGCTCTGTTGTTACCATCAGGATGTCGTCTTTTCTACGCAGATGACGCCAAAATATACAAAATTATCAAAAGCCTCTCGGACTGTTGGGATCTCCAGCGTATGCTATGTATTTTCGCTGACTGGTGCACGAGAAATTTGATGGGCCTGAGCATCGAAAAATGCAACGTCATCTCCTATCACCGTAAAAACGAACCAATTATGTTTGACTATGTGCTCTTTGGACGTTGCATTGCCCGTGTAGAACAAATAAAGGATCTCGGTGTTACTCTGGACTGCGGGCTCACCTTCAAAATCCATTATAACGACATCATTTCCCGAGCCAATCGCCAACTGGGTTTTATTTTCAAAATTGCCGATGAGTTCCGGGACCCGTTATGCCTCAGATCACTTTACTGCTCACTTGTGCGGTCTATATTAGAATCAAGTGCAGTTGTATGGTGCCCTTTCCAAGCCACTTGGATCGCTAGAATCGAATCTGTTCAACGAAAGTTTGTGAGATATGCTCTTCGTTTCTTGAACTGGCGTGACTAATCGAACCTGCCAACGTACGAGGAGCGTTGCCGTCTTCTGGGCATCGAACCGCTAGTGGTGCGACGGACAGTCGCTCAAGCTATGTTTGCTCGAAAGCTTCTCACGGGTGACATCGACTGTCCAACGTTGCTGGCCCAGCTAAATATGTATGCTCCTGAGAGACCTCTTCGTCAACGCGAATTTCTGGTTTTTGGAGCCACGAGGCAGAAATTATACGCAGAATGAGCCAATTCGTGCAATCAGCCGACAATTTAACTACTTTTATTGCGAATTTGATTTTAACGTATCAGCAAATGTGTTTCGTCACTGGTTACTTGACCGTTTTCGTTTCGTTGACCATAACTAATTAGATTAAGTTTTTATTCATTAAGACATTAATTGTCAGTTGAATTATTAAATAAACAAATAAACAAATAAACAAAATTTTAAATTAAACGAAAATAAAGTCCAAGATGGCGGCCATTGGTCTCAAATACCCTACAATATGAGTATTTTTGAACCTTGGACGACGCGAAGGTGCCGAAAATCGATGTCCGACGCCATTTTGGAATCCAAGATGGCGGCCATCGAGCTCTGGAAAAGTCTCAAATGGGTATTTTCAGAACGTGAACAACGCGCAGATGCCGAAGATCGATATTCGACGGCATTTTGAAATCCAAAATGGCGGCCATCGGTTTTCAGAAAAAGTGACAAATACTCTAAGATATGGGTATTTTCGCAACGTAGACGACGCGTAGATACCGAAAATATATAGTGGACGCCATTTTGGAAACCGACATTGGGTTTCAGAAAAGTGTCAAATACCCTAAAATATTGGTATTTTCGGAACAGGAACGACGCATAGATTCGTATGGGTATTTGCGGAACGGGAACAACGCGTTGGTGGCCATCGGATTTCAAAAAAGTGTCAATATTGATGGATATTTTACAGTACTTCCCACATTTTCTGAAATTGAAAACCACCAACTTGGAGTTCAAAATGGTGTCGAATATCGATTTTCATTCTCTAGCTGTCATACCGATTCAAAAAATACCTATATTAATGGGTATTTGACAGTATGTTCCACTTTTTTTTTTAAACTGGAAGCCACCATCGTAGATTTTGAAATGACGATTCCAAAAATACCCATATTGATCGGTGAACAAACCGCCCGACAATGATAAATTTGACATCACGTGCAGTCATTTATGCACGTAAGCTTAAATGAACCGAGTGAACAATCAACAAAAGTAATTTGGATCGAACAGCTTCACTTCGATGCGAACGAAGGCGCATTTGACAGTGAAAGACGAAATGAACACGAATCAAACCAAAGCAAACAGCATGGAAACTGATCGAAAGTGATGTTGAAGGGGATCTGCTCGAAGAGAAGACAGAATGACTTTCAATTGAAAGCGATGGCTGACAGCTTCGTCGTCGCTTGACGATTTTCGATTGAAAGTGACTTTGTTGAGCCCTGCAGAAGACCCGAGCAAGGCTGTCATGGTAAATTTAGAGCTGGTTACATACTATTTTTTTAATTAGCGCCCCCACCACCGCAAATCCACGCACAGTCCATAATT